CGTGTGTCTAAACAGTATACACACGATGGATACTCGTGTGTCTAAACAGTATACACACGATGGGTACTCGTGTGTCTTAACAGTATACACTTGGTCGATATTTGTATGTATAAACATTATTTACTTAGTAGATATTTGTATGTATAAACATTATATACTTGGTAGATATTTGTATGTATAAACAATATATTCTTGGAGGATACTTGTATGTATAAACAGTATAAATAGTATAAACTTCGGATATAATTGTATGTGTAAACAATATAATATACTTGTATGTATAAACAGTATATACTAAGTAGATACATGTATGTATAAAAAGTAGATATTAATTAGATACATGTATGTATTAATAGTATATATTAAGTAGATACATGTATGTATAAACAATATATACTTAGTAGATACTTTTATGTATAAACAGTATATACTTGGTAGATATTTGTATGTATAAACAGTATATACTTAGTAGATACATGTACGTATTTGTACATGGTGTATGCTATAATGTGTAATGCTGTCTCTTTCAGTTTAGGACTATGAATTATGAGTACTTAAATAAAATATAAATACGTTGTGTTGAAATATGAACTGCTAAGTTGATAAATACAATCGGTTTTTGAGAGACAGAATATAACGATAGATAAGGAATCTTATATTTAAAGGCATTATATACAGACTGAGAGGATCGATACCTTAAACCGGATACCTACAATCTCTAACGTTAGGATGGGGAATACAGTTTATTTCAAAAGTACGAAACAGACAAAGCAGACACCCAATACATGTACTGCAGTCTCACTTTGTACTTTTGGCAACTGAATGAATATGTGTCATGTCAATAGACTATATATGCCAAGACATACAAATGATTTCAGAAGGTAATCTGACCTAGTGTGACATTTCAATAAAATCTACCGCTCTCTGTTTTGCCATTCTTAATTTTTTCATAAATTTGGAACTACATATCATAAAGCCAACATACAAGGACTGTATCTGAATAACAACTGAAGCAGAAGGTATACTAAAACAAAAGACAATAACAACATGATCCAACCAAGTCAACAAAAGGGGGAAAGAAAACAACAGGAATCAAGGTGACTCCAAAACACGAGAACAACAAAAGAATACTCATAATCGATATAACTACGGCAAACTATTGATATAGGAAAGGTTTACACGCACGCCACTGAATAAAGATAAAAAGGAGAACAGAACAGGTGTTCCACAAGGATAAGCGCCCTGCTTCTACGTCACCTCCAATTAATGGTATGTCTTCACATCGACATCTCGGTTTATGACAAAAAAACAACAACTTCAAGGCCCTCTAATGAGTATAACCATCGACCTTCATATCACACGAAGACATATCATATTCCCCTGCTAGAAATATAGGATAGACAACAACAAGAATAGGGGGAATACTAAACACAATAACAGGAATTAACTAAACACCCCCCAAATAAAGACAATAACAGGAACCAAAGAGTCACCAAACCAAGAATATAGACAGCAACTGGAGCCAAGGAAATGCCACAGTGAATATTGAACGACATTATCGGGCCTCACATCGGTTAAGCTTGTTTGAAACTGAAATCTGCCATTTCACATTTTAGTAAGTAATTGATTTCAACTGGTACATATGTATACACAAAACTATCAAGGTATGTTGTTGAGTGTTAATCAATAAACTGCCACTAGTATGTTAAGTAGCGTACACAAAACGATAGATATTGTGATATGATATAGTAAGGACAACACAGGACACCTGCCACACTATGTAAGACCTGTCATAGGTATCTATAGCTAATAAGCGTGAGGAAATGAGTTCCGATTACATGAAACACTCATTATCGAATGCTCTACACATTGGACCAGATGGTAAACAGAACACAGGCTGTATTACATCATAGTGTATAACAGGATCTTTGTTTAGGTTTTATTTAGATATATAGATTGGTAGACGTTGAAACTGAGCCTATCTATTTCTCGGAATATGGCTGCCGATAGTGTGAACCATCGACAAAGCGATGACGCGCCCTTTGTATATGTAATCTGGAATACAATCGTGTATCTTACACAGAAGGTACCGTCTACAGATGGTCGAGGTAAAGTGTACATATGAAAGATGTTGTACTTCACGCTGATATTTACATACTGTTACATGTGTGTTGATATTGACGGACCTGGATGACAAGTTATACCCTCGTGCCTTCAATAGGAACGTGAACCCTATAACCAAATACCGTTCATCACGATTCAGTCAAGAATGGTGGCTCTAAAGTCTGTCATAAGCATGGAAACGACAGGTTACAGACGGGGTACGGGTTACAGAATACAGGTTCAAGGAGGGTACGGGGTACATAGTGCGGGGTACAGGGTACAGGTTCAAGGAGGGTACGGGGTACATAGTGCGGGGTACAGGTTCAAGAAGGGTGCGGGGTACAGGGTACGGGGTACGGGATATAAGGTACAGGATGCAGGGTACAGGGTGTAGGGTACGGGGTACAGCATACAGGGTACATGGTGCAGGATACGGGGTACAGGGTACGGGGTGCAGGTTCAAGGTGGGTACGGGGTACAGGGTGCGGGGTACAGGGTACGGGGTACGGGATATAAGGTACAGGATGCAGGGTACAGGGTGTAGGGTACGGGGTACAGCATACAGGGTACATGGTGCAGGATACGGGGTACAGGGTACGAGATGCAGGGTACGGGGTACAAGGTACAGGGTGCTGGGTATGGGGTACAGGAATAGAAAACTATCATATCATCAACGCATCAGGAAATATCCCCGATCAAGTTACAGTCTAACATCAACAGTAAGGGAGAACCGAAACAATCGAGGAGAAATATGTCCGAATCTTAATAATTTAATCAGGGAATAACTGATGTTTATTGTAAGAGCTCTGCGAATTCCGACCTATTCTTGTAACTTGGTCATTTCATATTAGAAATATAGGGGGGATTGCTGAGGTTTGTAGTTGTAGTTTACTAGTTTACAAAACTACTACAAACCTTTGACTACAGAATCAATAGGCTGACTCCAAACAGGATGACTCCAAATAGGGTGACTCCAAACAGAAACAGGATGACTCCAAACAGAATAACTCCAAACAGGATGACTCCAAACAGAATAACTCCAAACAGGATGACTTCAAACAGAAACAGGATGACTCCAAACAGGATGACTCAAAACAGAATGACACCAAACAGAATGACTCCAGTACCCATTGTTATACTTGTACATGTCCACCAGTCCAGTACCCATTGTTATACTTGTGCATGTCCACCAGTCCAGTACCCATTGTTATACTTGTACATGTCCACCAGTCCAGTACCCATTGTTATACTTGTGCATGTCCACCAGTCCAGTACCCATTGTTATACTTGTACATGTCCATCAGTCCAGTACCCATTGTTATACGTGTACATGTCCACCAGTCCAGTACCCATTGTTATACTTGTACATGTCCCCTTGTCCAGTACCAATTAGGTCTGGCTACATAATGCCTCACTGGGACAACTATTAAATTACACTGTAACGTAGGTTAAATAGTCTTCTTCACATTCAGGTTATCGAACAAAAAGATTGGTATATGAATATGGCAAGGGAGGTAACTTGTCAACATTATGACGGCTGTGAGAGAATTTTAGCAAGCATTTCAAACTGAACATCAAGGATATTAACTTCATATTCCTTACTATAAAATTAATATCAATATCGAAACATTTCAACACCGAGTAAAATACTGAGAATCAATGTTAGGTGTAGTACTTTACTTATTATACCTCATCGATATAACATTAACATTAACTTGTCCGATATATTTATATTGATCACATGCCGGGGAATTAAAATCCCGGGTTTTTCTCATGCGCTCGAATTTCCTCGGTCATATTTTACTTATTCAGAGCCAATTTAGAGAAATGTGCTAGAACAACCAGACTGAAACAGACGACAGCAATGAATAGTCGTCTTGAACATCTTCACCGTTGCGGGTTTCATCTTTATTTTATTTGGTATATTACAGTGTATAATATGTATTATCCTTGTGGTAGGAAATTAAACGTATAACAAACCAAGTTAACTACTCGTCCTACGTATAACTTCACCTTATACTTTCTAGTGACTCAAATTTCTTACAATTCGCAATCCTCAGTAAAAAAAAACCACCTGTTATTATTAGAAAATGTAAACCCATGTTAATTAAGTAAACTTATGGCGATAACGAAACATAGATGATGATAATAACGTGTATGGAAGTAAATACTCTTAATATAAGAATAGCAAAAAACATGTACACATTATAATTCTTTCATTTGCAATAATTCAAATACTGTCATTGTTATGTTAACTTACCAGGGGCGAGTATATATAGGCTTAGCCGGCTCTTAATTCCGATTTTTCAAAAGAATAAAATATGAGGAAATCGAAAATTGAGATTTGTATTCATGACTATAAGTACATTGTGCTATTTGATACACGTAACTCAAAACATCTTCCTAAATAAAAATCAAACTATTCATCCTGGTTATATATATTACATGCGCATTCGAACGTTGTCAAAGATGATATGTGTAAAACCTTATCAAATTACGTCAACCGAGCTGAAAGTACCCCATATTTTCTTTCATCTACGCTGATGAACTATAACCGGTGCCTATTGCGATCTGATTGAGATCTAACATTGTTAGAACGTTTGTGAACGACACGATTTCCAGGATTGGATGGAAATATCGTTACGGTTTCCACGTGTGGTTTAAGAAACCCTGACCAGGGTGTTCTTCCGGAGCACATTGTTTCGCCTTTACAGACATTGTCAAGGCCACCCGTATGTTTCGCTGTCTTCTACGTTGCTGTAGTTGTCGTAATACATCACGTGAACATTGGAATCTCCCCCGAATTTCATTGCTCGAAACGGTAAGTATTCAATTAATTCAATTAAGGCTACAATGTAATTCTGTTTTGTAAAATATATTCTAAGAAAGTTGAAATAAATACAAAACACAACTTTTATTCCAATGACAACTACATGTACATCACACATTTACACATTTGTTAAAAAAGGACACGATCCACTCAGAAACATGTATTCTACAAAGACATGCTGTACATATACACATTGTACGATACATAACTGTATCCACCGCCGCAAAATACATTCTCAACAATTCAGGCCGCTTATAGAAAAGCTCGTCTGAGTTGTTCCGAAGGAGTGCAAGACATGGATTTCTGCCGATCACGAATTAGATGGTTGTACTGTATTTGCCTTTGCATCTGTTGAAAAAGTATTATGCCAGATACTGATAAGACATATCAGACCTTCTCTGACAGATACGATAGTCCAATCCTGTCGAAAATAAATGACGTAAGTAATTAACGTAAATAAGGTAAGAATGTTATCAGCAGTGAAAATACTACTTTACAAAGTTTTAAAGAGTACATTTTCATAGTAAAGAGTCCACATACATCCATTCCACTATACGAGGAGGTGGAAGCAATTTACAGTAAACAATCCCCTCGGCAGGGATGGGTGACGTCCATGACACCGAAGTCACGTGCAGAACGTTGTCCCGGTGCTCCACAACTAGTGGCTGCTGTTCCCATTCGGGTTTTGATCTTGCCACGATGTCATCATGGAACATGATACCGGAGTGAGTCTCGTCAAATCGCTTTCTTGTAATATTTTGAGCCGAATTGTAGGTGTAAACAAACGATGCCTATAAAATGATAAAACAAGGTAAAACAAGTAAAGAAAAGCGGCGTGATATAGTGTCTACGAGAATCGTATTTCTCTGCATGGACTAAGGGAGGTAACTGTATCTTCAATACGATTGATACACAAACAATGTACGTATTAACCGACGTTTCAAGACCGACTGGTCCCTTTGTCAAGCACTCAGTCAAAGCTTGACCAATGGTCCAGTCAGTCTTAAAACGTTGCGCCACGTTCAATCCGTACATTGTTTGTGTAAAAAGTAAAACTTTGATATCGAGGTAACTGTAACGAAATGTAGTTCAGTGTGCCACTCCAATATAACGAACATCGCCCGACAGAAGACAATATACACCAAGGAAGTCTGAGAGAGGTACACAATTGAAACAACTAACAGATTGGAGAGGGTTGGTTAAGTAAACTAACCTGACATATCATACCTATATGATCAATATGATATGGTCATAAACAATAGAGACATGGCATATAATCCTAGGTATATGAAGTATCTACACCATGTTTAAATACAGCCTCAATTCATTTGGATGTATACGTGATTCCATATATATATATTTCAAAATTTTTAAAATACATTAAAAAAGGTAAAAAGATACATTTCTATCTTTCATTAAGATCTTTAAATGACAAACGTGTCATTCAATCTGTGTTTAAAGATGTCTCTATTGCACTAAAGATATCTATGACTTAAGATCTCTCTATTACACTAGAGATATCTATGACAATTAAGATGTCTCTATTACACTAAAGATATGTATGACAATTAAGATGTCTCTATTACATTAAAGATATCTATGACAATTAAGATGTCTCTATTACACTAAAGATATCTATGACAATTAATGTGTCTCTATAACATTAAAGATATCTACATTGTATGACAATTGAGATGTCTCTATTACACTAAAGATGTGTATGACAATTAAGATGTCTCTATTACACTAAAGATATGTATGACAATTAAGATGTCTATATTACACTAAAGATATTTATGACAATTAAGATCTGTCTATTACACTAAAGATATCTATGACAATTAGGATGTCTCTATTACAATAAAGATATCTCTGACAATTAAGATGTCTATATTACACTAAAGATATCTATGACAATTAAGATGTCTCTATTAAACTAAAGATATCTATGACAATTCAGATGTCTCTATTACACTAAAGATATGTATGACAATCGAGATGTCTCTATTACACTAAAGATATATATGACAATTAAGATGTCTCTATTACAATAAAGATATCTATGCCAATTAAGATGTCTCTATTACAATAAAGATATCTATGACAATTAGGATGTCTCTATTACACTAAAGATATCTATGACAATTAAGATGTCTCTGTTACATTGAAAATATCTATGACAATTAAGATGTCTGTATTTGCTTTATAAATTTAATTTTCGTTTGAAACATCTCTATAGTATAATATATTATTGTGCCAAACCCTTTCGTTTTCCTGGTTTGCCATAAGTCGGGTGCAATGAATAGGAATATGGACTGATGACGTACAATATAACACCTGACTTACATAATTGATGTCTCGGCAAGTCTTGATGTTCCCATTTCCAGAGGTATTAGATAGGACAGTCTGTAACCGCTGGGCATTAAATAACTTTGATTTAATTTCCAGTAGTTTAGGAGTAGCAGGGGGCATGTCGTCATCCCTGACGCCATCGTCTGAGTACACCATTTCAGAGAAGGTGAATATAGTTACACTACCATCCAGCTGTTCCATCAAAGCGGGTTCAAGGTTCCTGTTCACGTAGCTCTGCACCTGAAATAATAACACAACGATCACCGTCTGTCCAGTGTTTGATTGATATAGCGTTTGAGTATTAAGAGTTAAAATGTGCTTGTCAGCTAACAAAATCTCTTGTCAGAACATAATTAGTTTTCAACAATGAAATGGGTTTTTTGCTCATTTAATTTTACAAAAGTTTGCAATGAAATGCAAAAACAAAAATAAAAAAATTGTATAGTTAAGGAAAATTATCTTTCATATTATACAGTTTGTATTGAGATATGATAAGATTCCGTGTACTTCTTAGATGACAAATGAGATTTTGTCTCTTCTCGCGCGCATCAGATGCTACATTTTTTACCTTAATACAATACTATAAACCACCACCCGGTATATCCATGTACAACATAGGTTCCGTTTGGATTTACACAAGTTAAGTTCTAACTTGCTGTGTAATATGAAAAATCAACGTCTACTAATCGAATATGTATATCGAGTTTCTTTACGTATAGCCACGTTTTGTCGTTTCTGTAAATACCAAATAGTTTTAATCATTTGTTTATCTGTGTCATTGTTATTTACAGTTAGCAGTCGTAGCTCTGTGTGTGTTATTTTTATTGAGAGGCAGAAGTTTTACCTGACCTGTTTATTTCTACTTAATATTGTTTAGTCCTGTTTCTATAATTGAGTAGGATGTTTTGTAAGTACAATGTATCTTAAAAAGTGATTTCATGTTATCTGATGTTTTTACGAAAAAGATTAATTTGAAATCGTGCCTATCACATTTAAACGAGTTAGTTTCAACACATAGCCGAAATCTTCTTAGATGAGAACTATGTAAACACCGTAGTCTCTAGCTGTTTTGATAACTATTCGAGTTGAAGACAATCCACAACTGCTCCAGATTAACTGGTGATGATGTAGGCTTTAGAAGAAATAACGATAACAAGAGCTAGCGAATTACTACTATCTAAGGGTGCGTACACGAACCGCTTGTATTGCTAATAGGAATATTTTATAAGTGGGGATCTTTGTCAGAGGTTTGATAGCACATTCAATGTGCTTTTACTGTTCTCTTTTAATAATATTTTCACAAAGAAGTGTTATTAATACAAAACATATGTAGGACGGAGCGTACCATACCATTACCATCGGTAGATAGGCCCAATCTAATTTGATAACATTAATAACTTCCTATAAATATCCCGAACCAGAGTCCGGATTTAACACAGGCATCATGCTTAGAGGTTCCGGAATTACATTATTTATTGTACATGGAGTTTCTTGTGGTTTTTATTCCCCAATAATTCTGTTTACATTTCTTACATGCTTGTTTTGCGAGTCATCGTGTACCACGGCCACGAGTTGCACTTGAGTTGCATTGCGCGGGTCGCGGAGCGATACGTCTATATTTCCCAGTGAGAGTAAAACTTCTAACCGCGGGTGTGGTCCGGCAGTAAAATGCCGATAAACGTCAAAGCGTAACCTGTGCTCCCGAGAATAGCATTCAACCAATTCAGGTCACAACCTGACCATGTGACACTGGGACATTTTAATGATTAACTTGTGGTTTTACATACATGGGTAAAGAAGAAATAACGATAGTGCAGACAAAGACTTTTGTAACTAAACATTCTAATGTCTTATCGTTAACTGTAAAAGGAAATTAAAGAGTGTAATTCCCCTGCAGATTCGGGATGACAGAATTTACCTCCTCCACCACGCTGCAGATTCTTGTATATAGATATAGATGAAATCTCTTGCCAAAAATTGAGGAAAATAGGTTTAAAGTACATTCATTCATGGTATAAATCGATCTTCTTGCTTCACTTTGTCGCATACTTTTCTTGTCGCTACTGATACCTACATATGTAACAACAATTCCGTTGTAGCTCACCCCTCACAAACTGTTCAGTTTATTGAGGTTAATTTCTATAGTGGCATTGACTAGATATATAAGAGCCCGTTGTGTGTGACATACAGATAGATAGACCTATGTTGTAAAACCACCAGGAAGGCTACTAAACGTATTACAAGTATACAGTTTTCCGGATGATGTCCTTTCAACTAATTGGATAATATACAACGTAAGTGTTGTTAGTCATCTCACATGTATCTTCGCAGAATCGGGCCCCAGTATCCCTGACAACCAGATCTGAGCATACGTCACCCACGTTGACTTCAAGGTCGAATCTAAGGTCATCCTCTTAATATCCATAATTGGCTGTAAAATGACAAGTGAAATAAATGTTAAACATGACCATAGCCATTGCGGGGTGAATTGGTACAACGTGACAATACTCCGACTGCAGGGTGAATATATAATTCGTGACAATACTTCAGTGTTTGGTAAATGTGGAAAACGTGACAATAAGCCAGATTGCGGTACACGTGAAAGATGTGACATTACGACACTGTGTGTGGATTGCGATGAACGTCGAAAATGTGGCAATACGTCAGAGTGTGTAAATAAGTCCAATGTGACAATACAACAAAGTGTGTAAATGTATATAACATGACAATACGACAGTGTGTAAATGTATAAAACGTGACAATACGACAGCGTGTGTTAATGTGTAAAACGTGACATAATGACAGTGTGTAAATGTAGAAAACTTGACAATACGACAGTAAGTGTAAATGTAGAAAACGTGACAATACGACAGTGTCTAAATGTGGAAAACGTGACGATACGACAGTGTGTAAATGTGTAAAACGTGACAATACGACAGTGTGTAAATGTGTAAAACGTGACAACACGACAGCGTGTGTTAATGTGTAAAACGTGACAATACGACAGCAAGTGTAAATGTAGAAAACGTGACAATACAACAGTGTCTAAATGTAGAAAACGTGACAATACGGCAGTGTGTACATGCGTAAAACGTGACAATACGACAGTGTGTAAACCTGTAAAACGTGACAATACGACAGCAAGTGTAAATGTGTAAAACGTGACAATACGACAGTGTGTAAATGTGTAAAACGTGACAATACGACAGTGTGTAAATGTGTAAAACGTGACAATACGACAGCGTGTGTTAATGTGTAAAACGTGACATAATGACAGTGTGTAAATGTGTAAAACTTGACAATACGACAGCGTGTGTTAATGTGTAAAACGTGACATAATGACAGTGTGTAAATGTAGAAAACTTGACAATACGACAGCAAGTGTAAATGTAGAAAACGTGACAATACGACAGTGTCTAAATGTGGAAAACGTGACGATACGACAGTGTGTAAATGTGTAAAACGTGACAATACGACCGTAAGTGTAAATGTAGAACTAAATGTGGAAAACGAGCAAGTGTAAATGTAGAAAACGTGACAATACGACAGTGTCTAAATGTAGAAAACGTGACGATACGTCAGTGTGTAAATGTGTAAAACGTGACAATACGACAGCGTGTGTTAATGTGTAAAACGTGACACAATGACAGTGTGTAAATGTAGAAAACTTGACAATACGACAGTGTTTAAATGTAGAAAACGTGACGATACGACAGTGTATAAATGTGTAAAACGTGACAATACGACAGTAAATGTAAATGTAGAAAACTTGACAATACAACAGCAAGTGTAAATGTAGAAAACGTGACAATACGGCAGTGTGTAAATGTGTAAAACGTGACAATACGTAGAAAACGTGACAATACGGCAGTGTGTAAATGTGTAAAACGTGACAATACGCCAGTGTGTAAATGTGTAAAACGTGACAATACGACAGTCTGTGCAAATGTGTAATATGTGACAATACGACAGTGTGTGGTTATGTGTAATACATTACACTACAACAGTGTGTGTTAATGTGTAAAACGTGACAACCCGACAGCAAGTGTAAATGTAGAAAACGTGACAATACAACAGTGTCTAAATGTAGAAAACGTGACGATACGACAGTGTGTACATGTGTAGAACGTGACAATACGACAGTTTATGAATCTGTAAAACGTGACAATACGACAGCAAGTGTAAATGTGTAAAACGTGACAATACGACAGTAAGTGTAAATGTGTAAAACGTGACAATACGGCAGTGTGTGAATGTGTAAAACGTGACAATACGGCAGTGTGTAAATGTGTAAAACGTGACAATACGGCAGTGTGTGAATGTGTAAAACGTGACAATACGGCAGTGTGTAAATGTGTAAAACGTGACAATACGGCAGTGTGTGAATGTGTAAAACGTGACAATACGGCAGTGTGTAAATGTGTAAAACGTGACAATACGTAGAAAACGTGACAATACGGCAGTGTGTAAATGTGTAAAACGTGACAATACGTAGAAAACGTGACAATACGGCAGTGTGTAAATGTGTAAAACGTGACAATACGCCAGTGTGTAAATGTGTAAAACGTGACAATACGACAGTAATACAACAGCAAGTGTAAATGTAGAAAACGTGACGATACGACAGTGTGTAAATGTGTAAAACGTGACAATACGCCAGTGTGTAAATGTGTAAAACGTGACAATACGACAGAGTGTGTAAATGTGTAAAACGTGACAATACGACAGTGTGTGGTAATGTGAACCGTGACAATACGACAGTGTGTAAATGTGTACACTGTAAAACGTGACAATACGACAGTCTGTGCAAATGTGTAATATGTGACAATACGACAGTGTGTGGTTATGTGTAATACATTACAATACAACAGTGTGTGTTAATGTGTAAAACGTGACAACCCGACAGCAAGTGTAAATGTAGAAAACGTGACAATACGGCAGTGTGTAAATGTGTAAAACGTGACAATACGGCAGTGTGTAAATGTGTAAAACGTGACAATACGGCAGTGTGTAAATGTGTAAAAAGTGACAATACGACAGTGTGTAAATGTGTAAAACGTGACGATACGACAGTGTGTAAATGTGTAAAACGTGACAATACGACAGCGTGTGTTAATGTGTAAAACGTGACATAATGACAGTGTGTAAATGTGTAAAACTTGACAATACAACAGCAAGTGTAAATGTAGAAAACGTGACAATACGGCAGTGTGTAAATGTGTAAAACGTGACAATACGGCAGTGTGTGAATGTGTAAAACGTGACAATACGGCAGTGTGTACATGTGTAAAACGTGACAATACGACAGTTTATGAATCTGTAAAACGTGACAATACGACAGCAAGTGTAAATGTAGAAAACGTGATAATACGACAGTGTCTAAATGTAGAAAACGTGACGATACGACAGTGTGTACATGTGTAGAACGTGACAATACGACAGTTTATGAATCTGTAACACGTGACAATACGACAGCAAGTGTAAGTGTAGAAAACGTGACAATACGACAGTGTCTAAATGTGGAAAACGTGACGATACGACAGTGTGTAAATGTGTAAAACGTGACAATACGATAGCAAGTGTAAATGTAGAAAACGTGACAATACAACAATGTGTGTTAATGTGTAAAACGTGACAACACGACAGCAAGTGCAAATGTAGAAAACGTGACAATACGACAGCAAGTGTAAATGTAGAAAACGTGATAATACGACAGTGTCTAAATGTAGAAAACGTGACGATACGACAGTGTGTACATGTGTAAAACGTGACAATACGACAGTTTATGAATCTGTAAAACGTGACAATACGACAGCAAGTGTAAATGTAGAAAACGTGATAATACGACAGTGTCTAAATGTAGAAAACGTGACGATACGACAGTGTGTACATGTGTAGAACGTGACAATACGACAGTTTATGAATCTGTAAAACGTGACAATACGACAGCAAGTGTAAATGTTGAAAACGTGACAATACGGCAGTGTGTAAATGTGTAAAACGTTACAATACGACAGTGTGTAAATGTGTAAAACGTGACAATACGACAGTGTGTACATGCGTAAATCGTGACAATACGACAGTGTGTAAATGTGTAAAACTTGACAATACGACAGTGTGTAAATGTGTTAAAAGTGACAATACGACAGTGTGTAAATGTTTAAAACGTGACGATACGACAGCAAGTGTAAATGTGTAAAACGTGACAATACGACAGTGTGTAGATGTGTAAAACGTGACGATACGACAGCAAGTGTACATGTGTAAAACGTGACAATACGACAGTGTGTACATGCGTAAATCGGGACAATACGACAGTGTGTAAATGTGTAAATCGTGACAATACGGCAGTGTGTAAATGTAGAAAACGTGACAATACGACAGGGTGTAAATGTGTAAATCGTGACAATACGGCAGTGTGTAAATGTAGAAAACGTGACAATACGACAGGGTGTAAATGTGTAAATCGTGACAATACGGCAGTGTGTAAATGTAGAAAACGTGACAATACGACAGTGTGTAGATGTGTAAAACGTGACAATACGACATACGACAGTGTGTAGATGTGTAAAACGTGACGATACGACAGCAAGTGTACATGTGTAAAACGTGACAATACGACAGTGTGAAAATGTGTAAAACGTGACAATACGACAGTGGGTAAATGTGTAAAACGTGACAATACGACAGGGTGTAAATGTGTAAATCGTGACAATACGGCAGTGTGTAAATGTAGAAAACGTGACAATACGACAGGGTGTAAATGTGTAAATCGTGACAATACGGCAGTGTGTAAATTTATAAAACATGACAATACGACAGTGTGTAAATGTGTTAAACGTGGCAATACGGCAGTGTGTCTAAATGTATAAAACGTGGTAATATGGCAGTGTGTCCCTTATGTATAAAACCTGACAATACAGCAGTGTGTAAATATATAAAACGTGACAATACGACAGTGTGTAAATGTGGAAAACTTGACAATACGACAGTGTGTAAATGTGTAAATCGTGACAATACGGCAGTGTGTAAATGTAGAAAACGTGACAATACGACAGGGTGTAAATGTGTAAAACGTGACAATACGACAGTGGGTAAATGTGTAAAACGTGACAATACGACAGCAAGTGTAAATGTGTTAAACGTGACAATACGACAGTGTGTAAATGTGTTAAACGTGGCAATACGGCAGTGTGTCTAAATGTATAAAACGTGGTAATATGGCAGTGTGTCCCTTATGTATAAAACCTGACAATACAGCAGTGTGTAAATATATAAAACGTGACAATACGACAGTGTGTACATGCGTAAATCGGGACAATACGACAGTGTGTAAATGTGTAAATCGTGACAATACGGCAGTGTGTAAATTTATAAAACATGACAATACGACAGTGTGTAAATGTGTTAAAAGTGATAATACGACAGTGTGTAAATGTTTAAAACGTGACGATACGCCAGCAAGTGTAAATGTGTAAAACGTGACAATACGACAGCGTGTGTTAATGTGTAAAACGTGACAATACGACAGTGTGTAAATGTGTAAATCGTGACAATACGGCAGTGTGTAAATGTATAAAACATGACAATACGACAGTGTGTAAATGTGTTAAACGTGGCAATACGGCAGTGTGTCTAAATGTATAAAACGTGACAATACGACAGTGTGTAAATGTGTTAAACGTGGCAATACGGCAGTGTGTCTAAATGTATAAAACGTGGTAATATGGCAGTGTGTCCCTTATGTATAAAACCTGACAATACAGCAGTGTGTAAATATATAAAACGTGACAATACGACAGTGTGTAAATGTGTAATACGTGACAATACGACATTGTGTGTTAATGTGTAAAACGTGACAATGCGACTGTTTATGAATTTTGTGTGTGTGTGTATGGGGTGGGGGGGGGATATCATACTATTTTGAAATGATGTGTCTCTTTAATGCTATCTGTTTGGGTGGTTTTTTACGTTATAACCTATAATCATATTGAGAAAAAGCAACCGGAAGTTGTTATTTTTCTTATATCAGGTTATCCATACCTGCAGTAGTGTTAATGTTTTCCGCGATGCTTTCAGCAATGATGACATGCTCGAACTGTCCTGATCAACAGTTTTCACCAGGAATGTCGATGTAATTTGTGATATTGTATCTATTGCTCTATCTATCGGTAGATCCGAATAAACGTCGGCCATCTTTAAATTTTCCGGAAGTTCGCCTGTGATAAGTGACCCATGATTGACCCCTTCTAAAACAACAATTGGACTCCTCTGTAGCAAGGATTCCTCGTCATTACCATCGCCAACATTAATATTGTCTCTGAAATCACAATTTTAAAGAACATTCAAGGGGAAATGTAATACTTTATTTACAATTTGATGGTCAATAAGTTTAATGAATTCTTCAATGATTTACATCTTAAAAAAATAGGTTATGTAATTTGTCAATAAACTTGTTGCAACGGAGAGATAATTTCAGGACATCTATCAGAACAACCCGTCACAGAGGTACTTGTTCCCTATATGACGTTAAAATAATAAGAACCTCAAATCATAAATCACCAATAATACATGTATTTTAAACCAATCATCTATCACACCTGCAAACAATGTATTAATCATTTTGAGATATTGTTTTGAAACCTAATTTTATTTTTTAACAAAAGAATAAGCCACAAGAGCAACATCTCATTCTTCTTGTCAGAAAAAGCGCTTCAAACTTCATGGTAAAGCGAAATATTTTAGTATGCATTCTGGGTCATTGCAATTAATTTGCTATTTAAGTACTATAACTATAGAGTTTGAAAGGTCTGAGTGTCTTACATCAACATGTCGGCAATATGTGTGATTCTGTTGACTCCGTCTAGATCCCCTGAGATTGTGAGAATCGGAACTGGGAATGTGACCATCTGGCCCTGCCGCAGGTATGAGTTATAGAGCAGGATACCGTCCACTTCCGCTGGGTAAATACTTGCATACAACTGTACTGGGAAACCTGTTAAACAGAGGCATGGGTTATTCCTGGCACTTCAATTTCAGGGTGAAAAAAGTTTGGCATTCAAAAGATAGAAAAAAATAATTCTGTTATAGGTACATAGCGTAATGTCTCGAAATGTAAGAGGTTCCACTACAATGTATTAAAAGTATTCCGTTTCGTCCTTTTGCAAAATTGTTGTACTACTTTGACATGCAAATGAAGTAATGAAATGTATGTTAAATAGATATAGTTAAACAAAAATGCTCGACATAACATACCGGATGTGCCATGTCCAGCAAGGAAGAGGTCATATGCGCCCCCATTCAATCCTTCCTCTCGTAGTCTATCCCTAACGCTCCACACGATTGCCGGAATGTCCTCGAGACGTGCCGCCTTTCCGTGGAGGTCTGCTAGCACTGACCACGTTCGGTATGGACTCTTCTTCTGGATTGTCTCTCCTGGTTAAAGATACACACTCACATGTTTACATTCTTCAATTAGTGTACCTTTTGTAAATGACCTCCCTGAAATACAGGTTGTGTTCAAAATGCCTCCCTCCCGCACAAATCATAATATCGACGACCATGACTGGTGACCTTCTCGATGTTATTGCACTGAGAACTGAATTATACCTCGACATTATACTGAATTATGAATAAAATATTTCAATGAGTAGATTAAGGAGAGAAATAACGAAGACAAAAGGAATGTCCATGCATGTATTCACAGAACACGATATAAATTAATGAACAAGATACAGGTACAAACAACGTTTGTTTTCAAGGAAGAATAAGGAAACTCCTTCCGTGTTAGAATAGAGTTACGGATTCGTATACACATAGGAATATCGGTTAATCCGTGACCTTGTTTGATGGGTTAAGGGGTTGTAAAAATATGATACATTCCCGACCCTAGGTCTAATAACAGGGGCCGTATGTTGTGTGGTCGAGTAGAAATGAAAGTCATTCCCTCTCATTACACGATCTGTGATGACAGGGTAACAATGCCTCTCAATATAGTTTATTTTTAACCCAGAGTAGATGAATGTATGCGAACACCTTGAAAAGGGCCATTGCTATTTAATGAAACCTGATGGGGTCGACTTCCGTCCGTGTCACCTCGTGTTTAGAGCCGTCACGCCACTGATTCTGTGAGTGTACCATAGCTTTTCACAGGCACTCGTTATATATATAGATGTCCTTGTCTTTTATGGTACGTGTATCGCCATTATTGTATTATTGCTAGATTATATTTGAAAGGGTGTAGATAAGCACATCGTGATATAACTAATGTTGAACATTAATGATTAAAAAAAAATCAATGAAATACGTATATATTCTAACATCACTGATACACAGTAAAATCGATTCTAAATAAAAATATATATACTATTATCAAGATCCTGTGTCCGCAGAATGAGAGGTTTAGGCGATCCTGCCATACCACGTGAACTATATATACCCGTTTCATCTCCTCTTACTAGATCATTAATCATGGCGGACACGAAGTTATTTCTCCCGGCATTTCTACTACCTCACTTGACACGTAAATAAGATACTCTGAAATAGCAAACCAATGTTTTAGGACATCTCGTCCACAGGATTAACAACTAAAAAATAACCACTAATGTTTGTAAAGTGCTTGAGCACCACGACAGGACGTTGTGTCTGTCCTTCATACAAACCGTAGCGACTGTTAATTAAAACAATTATAATGTAGAGAGACAACTCGACCAGATACTATATGGACAATTCGGCACACTTTTGTTCCCATTTATATAGTGTAAACAGTTCTGATGTAAATTTTGGAATTAAGAAAAACGAATAATGTTTTTGTAATTTAAATACATATTGGAACATGTATATGAACGAACCGAGCTTTATCAGATCTGCGATCCCACAAATACCTGATGGTAAGCAATGTCGGGGATGACTGACAGAGGAGAAAGATTCTAATATGCTCGTTTCCATGCAGGCCACGTAATAAAACTCATCTTTCAGAAAATAATCAACATATATATAAATAATGACACCAACCCATAACAATATCATAGGTTGAATACAAACACATTTTCTGCAAGATGGCATGTGTATAAATATCCAGGGAAAACGTAAAATGTGCAAAAATGCAAAAAGCGAAAAATACCTATACATGTAACAATGAAGATCGCATATATTCACATCATTTAATACACAAGCACGTGGATACATAACTTAAAATGTCAAAAAATTAAAATATCAAAAATGAAACGGTTAACTTAGTGGTGAAGAGCTAATGTTGTAATAGTTGGCTATGTTTACATGAGGTGTTTATCGTTACGGTCATATGTTAGACAGTGAAACGGCAAATCAGATATACAAGTACTGATAAATCGTCTAAACCTTATCGAGTTTACACAGCGGAGACACATTTATAAACATTTAACACAGTACAGCGAAATCCAAAGTTATTTCTGTCGACAAAATATCACTTTCTGAAACCAACGTACGTAACATGACCGACGGAGAACTTTAGAGTATACGAGTTTTTTGGGGCATTTTGATTCTGTATCCATTATCTGAGGATATAGCGGTATTCATTGGTTAGGTAGAGCCGCGAGGTTGGCCGTACCTAAACACAAATTTGTATCTTTAACACTATAAGATTCTGAACAGAGCTCCTCTTTTTCTTATGTTTGTTTTATAGCACATTCTAATGACACATACATATTACATATGTATTCGCGACAAGCAAAAACACAAAACAGTTTATAAAAGATATGAACAGTTGCAATCATTTATAAAATAATGATTTAAACAGAATCAAAGAATTATCAACTTTTCATCCTGTTTCACCTTACCAAACTGTTTGTACAGACTATTGTCCACTCCAGCCTCCGGAAGAATGACCACAACAACTGTCCTTGCGAGTGCGACCCGGGGGGTCAGGAATATATGGCGACCCTCCCCGACCCCCACAGTCATTAGGAGATACAACAATATACTGACGCCTCCCCGCATCCCTGCTCCAGTGGCTGATGGCTAATGTCACGTGGAAGGGCACGGCATTTACACGTTAAATTCCAGGGCGGGACGACCGCTGTACAAGGCGAGTGACAACCGACAGGAACGCGATATATAATGTCAGCTGAAATTGGTCGTAGCGGAGAAAATTGATGTTCGGCGCCTAGCGTACATTTAGTATAATTATCTCCCCTTCTTCTCGGCTATTTTATTTTTTACAGACCTGCATATGTGTATGTCATAGTAAGTCCAGCCTCTCCAACGACGAGGACAGTTACAACTGACTAACCCACTTTGATGACTGAGCTGATATCTGCTAAAATTGCATGAGATACGTTAACGTAGTACGTACGAGCTGAGGGCGAGTGCATTCCTGGTAACGGGTGTTATTAATACAGCGTGTATGTGGTACTCTCTCTCACTCACTCTCTCACACTCAAACAACACACATACTCATGTCAAGAGGAAGCACACACTTAGCATCTTTGAAGAGAGTAAGGATGGTAAACAAGCTATTTGTGTGGCGTTTGTAAGGGTATCACGCTCTATTTTACACTCCAGTGGAAATTATCGCTATTCATTTATTACAAACAGTTTAGTATAATTAAATGTACCATCGTAACTCAAAACACCTGTCATCAAACAGGGACCAGGTTACACTGTTCATCTTATAACTCACATTCTCTTTATCGTTTAGGTATTTAATGTATCATAAACTTATCCCTGTGTTCTGTGCATTTACTACCGTATAACAAATTCACTTCTGTATAACACAGTCACCACTGTATAACACACAGAAACCTCTGTATAACGCACAGTAACCTCTGTATAACACAAAGTAACCTCTGTATAACACACAGTCACCTCTGTATAACACACAGTCACCTCTGTATAACACACTGTCACCTATGTACAGCACACAGTCACCTCTGTATTAGACACAGTCACCTCTGTATAACACACAGTCACCTCTGGATAACACACAGTCACCTCTGTATAACACACAGTCACCACTGTATAACACACAGTCACTTCTCTATAACACACAATCACCTCTGTATAACACACAGTCACCTCTGTATAACACACAGTCACTACTTTATAACACACAGTCACCTCTGTAAAACACACGGTAACCTCTGTATAACACACAGTCACTTCTGTATAACACACAGTCACCTCTGTATAACACACTGTAACCTCTGTATAACACACAGTCACTTCTGTATAACACACAGTCACCTCTGTATAACACACAGTCACCTCTGTATTACACAAAGTCACCTCTATACATGTATAACACACTGTCACCTCTGTATAACACACAGTCACCTCTGTATAACACACATTCACCTTTATATAACACACTGTAACCTCTGTATAACACACTGTCACATCTGTACAACACACAGTCACCTATGTATCACACACCGTCAACTCTGTATAACACACAGTCACCTCTGTATAACACACAGTCACCTCTGTATAACACAGAGTCGTCTACGTATAACACACAGTCACCTCTGTATAACACACAGTCACTTCTGTATAACACACAGTCACCTCTGTACAACACACAGTCACCTCTCTATAACACACATTCTCCTCTTTATAACACACAGTCACCGCTGTATAACACAGAGTCATATATGTATAACACACAGTCACTTCTGTATAACACACATTAACCTCTGTATAACACAAAGTCACTTCTCTATAACACACAATCACCTCTGTATAACACACTGTCCCCTCTGTATCACACAGTCACCTCTATACATGTATAACACACTGTAACCTCTGTGTTACACACAGTCACCTCTGAATAACACACTGTAACCTCTGTATTACACACAGTCACCTCTGTATAACACACAGTCACCTCTGTATAACAAAAAGTAACCTATGTATAACACACTGTAACCTCTGTAAGACACAAATGTAACTCTGTATAAAACACAGCCAGCACTGTATAACACACAGTCACCACTGTATAACACACAGTCACCTCTGTATAACACACAGTCACTTCTCTATAACACACAGTCACCTCTGTATAACACAAAGTCACCTCGGTATACCACACAGTAACCACTGTATAACACACAGTCACCTCTGTATAACACACAGTCACCTCTATATAACACACAGTCACCTCTCTATAACACACAGTCACCTCTATATAACACACTGTAACCTCTGTATAACACACAGTCACTTCTGTATAACACACTGTAACTTCTGTATACCACACAGTCACCTCTGTATAACACACAGTCACCTCTGTATAACACACAGTCACCTATGTATCACACACTGTCAACTCTGTATAACACACAGTCACCTCTGTATAACACACTGTAACCTCTGTATAACACACAGTCACCTATGTATAACACATAGTCGTCTCTGTACATATGTTTAACACACATTCACCTCTGTATAACAAACATTCACCTCTGTATAACACACTGTCACTTCTGTATAACACAGTCACCTATGTATAACAAACAGTCACCTCTGTAAAACAAACAGTCACCTCTGTATAACACACAGTCACCTCTGTATAACACAAAGTCGTCTCTGTATAACAAACAGTCACCTCTGTATGACACACTGTCACTTATGTACAGCACACAGTCACCTATGTATCACACACTGTCAACTCTGTATAACACACAGTCACCTCTGTATAACACAAAGTCGTCTCCGTATAACACACAGTCACCTCTGTATAACACAAAGTCACTTCTCTATAACACACAGTCACCTCTCTATAACACACAGTCACCTCTGTATAACACACTGTAACCTCTGTATTACAAACAGTCACCTCTGTATAACACACAGTCATCTCTGTATAACACACAGTCACCTCTGTATAACGCAAAGTCACTTCTCTATAACACACAGTCACCTCTGTATAACACAAAGTCACTTCTCTATAACACACAGTCACCTCTCTATAACACACAGTCACCTCTGTATAACACACTGTAACCTCTGTATTACACACAGTCACCTCTGTATAACACACTGTCACCTCTGTATAACACACAGTCACTTCTCTATAACACACAGTCACTTCTGTATAACACACTATGCACTCTGTATAACACACAATCACTTCTCTATAACACATAGTCCCCTCTGTATAACACACTGTCACCTCTGTATAACACACAGTCACCTCTGTATAACACACAGTCACCTCTGTATAACACACTGTCACCTCTGTATAACACAGAGTCACCTATGTATAACACACAGTCACTTCTCTATAACACAAAGTAACCTCTGTATAACACACAGTCACCTCTGTATAACACACAGTCGTCTCTGTATAACACACAGTCACCTCTGTATAACACACAGTCACCTCTGTATTACACACAGTCACCTCTATACATGTATAACACACTGTAACCTCTGTATTACACACAGTCGTCTCTGTATAACACACAGTCACCTCTGTATAACACACAGTCACCTCTGTATAACACACTGTCACCTCTGTACGACACACAGTCACCAATGTATCACACACTGTCAACTCTGTATAACACACTGTCACCTCTGTATAACACACAGTCACCTCTGTATAACACACAGTCACCTATGTATAACACACAGTCACCTATGTATAACACACAGTCACCTCTATATAACACACAGTCACCTCTGTATAACCCACAGTCACCTCTGTATAACACACAGTCGTCTCTGTATAACAAACAGTCACCTCTATAACACACAGTCACCTCTGTATAAAACACAGTCACCTCTGTATAACACACTGTAACCTCTGTATTACCAGTCACCTCTGTATAACACACTGTCACTTCTGTATAACACAGTCACCTATGTATAACACACAGTCACCTCTGTACGACACACAGTCACCAATGTATCACACACAGTCACCTCTGTATAACACACAGTCACCTCTGTATAACACATTGTCACCTCTGTATAACACACTGTCACTTATCAGTCACCAATGTATCACTATGTATCACACACTGTCACCTCTGTATAACACACAGTCACCTCTGTATAACACACAGCCACCTCTGTATAACACACTGTCACCTCTGTATAACACAGAGTCGTCTATGTATAACACACAGTCACCTATGTATAACACACAGTCACCTATGTAAAACACACAGTCACCTCTGTATAACACACAGTCACCTATGTATACAATATTACATAATTAACTATATTGTACTATACTACATAATTATTTCTTTGTACTATACTACATATTTACTTCTGTATATTATACTACATATTTAATTCTGTATACTATACTACATATTTACTTTTTTGTAATATACTACATATTTACTTCTGTATACTATACTACATATTTACTTCTTTGTTCTTTACTACATATTTACTTCTGGATACAATACTTCCTATTTTCTTTTTTGTAGTATACTATATACTACATATTTACTTCTGTATACTATTACATATTTACTTCTGTGTAGTATACTACATATTTACTTCTTTACACTATACTACATTTTAATTATGTGTACTATACTACATATTTACTTCTTTGTAGTATACTACATATTTACTTCTGTATACAATACTACATATTTACTTCTGTATACTATACTACATATTTACTTATGTTTACTGTACTACATATTTACTTCTTTGTACTACACTACATATTTACTTCTGTATACAATATTACATATTTACTTCTGTATACTAAACTACATATTTAATTCTGTATACAATACTACATATTCACTACTGTATACAATACTACATATTTACTACTGTATACTATACTACATATTTACTACTGTATACTAAACTACATATTTACTACTGTATACTATACTACATATTTACTACTGTTTACTAAACTACATATTTAATTCTGTATACAATACTACATATTCACTACTGTATACAATACTACATATTTACTACTGTATACTATACTACATATTTACTTCTGTACACTATACTACATATTAACTACTGTATACTATACTACATATTTACTTCTTTGTACTATACTACATATTTCCTACTGTATACTATACTACATATTTACTACTGTTTACTAAACTACATATTTAATTCTGTATACAATACTACATATTTACTACTCTAAACTATACTACATATTTACTTCTGTATACTATACTACATATTTACTTCTGTATACTACATATTTACTTCTGCATACTACATATTTACCACGGTATACTATACTACATATTTACTTCTGTACACTATACTACATATTCAATACTGTATACTAAACTACATATTTACTTCTGTGTACTATACTACATATTTACTACTGCATTCTATACTACATATTTACTTCTGTATACTATGCTACATATTTACTACTGTATACTATACTACATA